TCGTTTACAAAACAGCCATGGCCGTTTTTTCGAACTTTGAACGATTATATCTCAATAACTACATGCAGTATCTAAAATTGTTAAGTTGTTTTTTAGTTCTACTGATTTATAGAATTATATATAAATTTTTTTATCGATATTAGGTATGTGAGGTATCATCTCTCAAATTTTTTAAAAAAATCATAATAAGCAATCAATTCAGAAAAATTCATTTCATAAACAAGTGAAATAAATTATCGATTAGATTAACTTGTAAAATGGGATATCCGAATATCTGGGTCCAAGCTCTAATCTCGTTAATTAAAATAAAGTTCGCGCCATTACTGTATTTTGTTTAAGCATTATCTTATTACAACTAAATGCATTTATGAATGCTATATATATATTTATAAATGGTATTTTATTTAGAAATTCTATATGCAGGAGTTGATTCCCGAATTGTCAGAGTTTTCCGTTTCGATGAACAAATTAGTGAGACATAAGCCATCTTTTTTTTCAATAATTTATCGTTGATAAAGGGATGTTCAAGAACTACTTTACATTCTTCAGATATCAAATATAATAATAGGAATTCTAACCAAATTTTTACTCGACTTAAATAATAGTTATTTTATAGAAAATTTCGCTAGCTGTTGCAATAAAAGGTTTAAATTGGTAAAATCATTAGAAAGAGAAGTCAAAGCTTCTGCGGCTGGCTGAATAGAAATTTTTTAAAAATTTTCAGGTGGATAGCGAAGATTACGAAAATAGAAGGGGTATTATACTCAAGCATTTGATTTTATAAATATAGTCAATGCAGCGCATGATCATTATTTGATAAGAATACTGTAATTATAATTTATACCAGGGGATAATGATATCTGGGTGCTATATCGGTTGTTGCTCATTTCCCCGACACCATAATGCCGACATCTAAAGCACATTTTTCGATAAGATATATATTCGACATTACATTTTTTCAACAATCCTTTTCTTAGACAAGACATTTCTCCGACAATATTTCCTCGACATAAAATTGGCCCGATTTAGCATTAGAGTTAGCCTGATTTAGAGCTAATATTGGTTAAAATTATATGTCGGAGAGATAATTGTCAGGGAAATGTCTTGTCTAAGAAAAGGATCGTTGAAAAAATGTAATGTTGAATATATATGAGTGTCGCCAAAAGAAACCCCGACAATTTAAATATAGACTATATTTAAATTGTCGGGTTTTCTTTTGGCGACACTCATATATATTTACAACATACCGCTATAATTAGCCATTAAAATGAGGTCTTGTTTAGGACCTCTTCACCCACCTGGTATACCGTTTTCTTTCGTGAATAAGCACCACATCCTCTACCCACTTTTTTTAATATCAGATTAGTGGGAATAATTTGAATAAAGACTTCATTGCGATTTCCGCTAATCTGTGATGCTTATTTACGATAGGATACGGTAATTGGAACCTTTATATAGCTAGCGCGAACCTGCGATAGCGTAAATCTGATTTTATCGAAGAAACGACAGCACATCTGCATGTCGATATGAAAAGACAGATTTTTGGATAATAAACATTGTCGAGATTGCCAAATATGAGTTAATATTTAATCACTATATTATTCACCGATCTTTTATACGCTTCGGAAGATAATAGATTTACTCTAATAGTCGTCATGAAATTCATATTTTAACGTTAAAATAAATTGGAAATCCGAAATAAATTAAGAATGTGAGTTGTATCTTATTAAAAGTCAGCCCAACAAAGTTTAATTTTGCCGAGCACTATCTATAAAATAATGGGTAATAATACATAATTGTAACTTATGTGGCATTTAATTAGCTTAAAAATTGGTCCGTCCAATCTCATGCTAAACGGTCCTATCAGTCCTGGACCGCAGTCCGGTTTACCATAATAAAGTAATAGCAAAATTGGGCCGATTTTGATTGGCTAAGAGCGACGATCAAAAAATTAGGCCGGAATTACTCGCAATTTTACCAATAAAATCATAGCCGCCCATTAAGCAAAAATTGTTCTTGGGTCAATTTTACCATAATGCGTATTTATTTTTTTTACAGCTATTATCATAATTTCTGGGACATCTGTAAAAATTTGCCGAATGATTTTTCGGCCGATCCGGTTAAGTTATAGATTTCGGAATAATAAGATTCAGTAACAGATATAGTATGGGACAGCATAACCCGACAAACTAAATAGACTTTTTTTAAAAAATTTACTATGATCCAAATTTAATTTTATTGTAAAAATTTTTTAGCCAAAAAGAAGTTATTTGTTGTACTGTAATTACAATTTGGCTAAATTAGTTTTTTAAATTATATATTTAAATTAAGAGCTGTTGCAACTTAAAGTTTATATGTAAATAAAAATTTGGCCGCTATTAATAAAAAAATTAATTCAAAATTATCCAATCACATTGCTTGTTTTGTGTAACATACATTCAAATTTGGCCGCTTTTATTAAAAAGTTGTTGGGACTTGCTGTCCCATACTGTATATCAGATCCGTAATTTAATAAGATCAGATGACTAATATCCATTTTCGTTGAAAAGAAGCTTTTATTCATTTCTAATTATTTTTCGACGAAAATTCAGGTTTAAAAAATTGTGTAAAATTTCAATTCCCATTCTTTGGTAAGATCCATTTTCGTTCAAACGAAGCCTTTATTCATTTCTAATTATTTTCGTTTTTAAAAATTGTGCAAATTTTCAATTCTTTATCTTTGGCAAGATCTATTTTCGTTCAAACGAACCTTTATTCATTTCTTGTCAAAGACAAAAAATTTGGATTTAAAAACTTGAATTAAATTTCAATTCCTATTCTTTGACAAAATCCATTTTTGTTCAAACGAAGCCTTTATTCATTTCTAATTATTTCAATGAAAATTAGTTTTTAAAAAATTGAATTAATTTTCGATTCCTATTCTTTAGCAAGATCATTCTGATTTCGTTCATCATAATTCTTCATGATTCTCGATAAATATTAATAATATCTTGGTCGCTTGGAATCTTAACTTAGGATTCATTTTTAAGCCAGTTGACAAATTCATGACTTTTTAATAGCGGCACTTGCTCGAGTAATGTATTTGTTATTAAAGCCTAATTTATATTCGATTCCTTTTTTTACGTTTCTTGTTAAGGTTTATTGGTTGACATGAACAGTTTTTTTTCATAAATTTTCATACAAACTAAGCACACAAACATGATGGAACGAAAATTTAAAATCGTTGACTTATTGTTATGACAATCGTAAAATAATCATTATGATACAAAAATAGCTTTTATTACAGCTGTTTTCATAAATTCTGGGACACCTAAAAATTTTTTCGTTTCCCGAAATCTTTTCGGTTTCGTCCGGTAAATTACCTAACTCTCCGGAAACTACATCGCTGTCTCCGGACTGAAGGTTCAAAAATAGCGATGTAGTTTCCAGAGAACTAGGTAATTTACCGGACGAAACCGAAAAGATTTCGGGAAATGAGAAAATTTTAGGTGTCCCAGAATTTATGAAAACAGCTGTAATATTTTATTATACGGATCATGCCGAAACGATAGTTTAACCGGATCGGCCGAAAAATCATTCAGCAAATTTTTACAGGTGTCCCAGAAATTATGATAATCTTTATAAGGTTTGTGCGCTTAAACGTTTGATTGGTCGTAACCGAAAAAAAAGTGACATGAACGTGGGAAAAATTATAATGTAGTAATGAACGTGGGAAAAATTATAATGTAGTAATGAACGTGGGAAATTACCACAATTAACGTTTTAAATTGGTCGTAACCAAAAAAAAAGTGACATAACGTGAGAAAAATTATAATGTAATAATGAACGTGGGAAATCTCACGATTACTAAATTTATAAGTTACGATGGTTCGGTAGGTCAAATAACGAAAGGTCTTTGTAAACCGTTAACAGTTAATATAATTTCCGGAAATGGTAATATGCGGAAAATTTGAGTCATGATGATGAAGATTTACGAAATTGTAATGTGCGTACGTACGTACATAACTTTAAAATTGCGAACACGTGAATAATGCGCTATTCTTATAAAAGTTAAGCTGATAATAATGAAAATCCATTAATATAGAAAATATAATCATAATGATATAAAAATTAGCGAAAGAAAAAAGGGTATTAAGCATAGTTCCCTGTGTGAATATTATTAATGAAAATTAAATACGAAGAAATTACTTGAACCTAACAAATCGTACGAAAAACAAATGAATACCAATTTATGTATGATCAGAATAATTAAATCGAAATGTTTTATTTGAAAATAGAATGTCGAAACTTCTTAAATATTGTTTATAAAATTAAACTTAGTAAATTTTAATGATAGAATCTTTGTAATTTCGTAATTATGATGAACAAATTATGAAAGAATTAATATACGTAATGAACTGAAAAGGGGTAAAGTTTACTGACCTCTATTATCAATCACATTTTATGAAAAATCTTTATAAAAACGCTGTATAAACATCATAATTATATTTTATTTGAATAGTTATAAAAACACTATATAAACATCATACCTGTATAAAGTTAAACAAATTACATTCCTCTTAGTTTATCGTGTTGTGTTAAATCGAATATGCTGCCTCTTCATACATGCCGCTTACAAACTATGGAAGAATGTCACATTGCGAATACTTTTCATATGCAGAGATCACGAAAATTACATTCTTTGACAAAAAATCGAGTTTATCGAGAAAATAATATTGGCCGATAGGGACACTTGAAGAACAAGGAACCCAGTGATTATCACATCACGTGAAATAATGCAATTACGTCATTTGTTTACTGGGACTAAACAAATTAGCCTAAACTAACGTATCACCTAACCCTAACGTAGGCCGAACACTTAATCATGTGATGTGATTATCACGAAGATATCACTGGGTTCCTTGATCTTCAATCTTCCCACTTTAGAAATAATTAAACCACAATTAGACTGTATAAATTCTTTTTTAGCCAACTTGAGATTGATTTTTTCTGTTAGTAATATGACAAAACTACAACTTTCTATTAAGGCTAATCATGGTTTAGATCAATGTATCTACAATGCACCAACAATTTTGCAAGTTGCTGCTACATGGATAGAAAACAATAATCCTGTAAATTATACTAAATATGATATAATAGTGCAATCGAAATCTCAAGGTTTACAAATAGTATCAGAACTTAGTAGTTGTTATAACCCAATGCAATATTTGCTACTTTTTTTCAAAAAAAATTATAGCTGGCATCCAGAAATTTTACAAACTATGATGCAAAAGAAAGTTACAATATTATTTGTACAAATTGCACTTTTGTGAATTATCTTCAATATTACTTTTCCTAGGTGGACAACTTTTTCAATATGTTGTTGATAATTATGTAAAAATTGAAACAACATGTCTTAATTACTTACAATTTAACCAAGATAAAATTTAAAAAGAATATTATCAAGGACTATATGATTATGTTTAATCAGAATTGGCAGACGTATCTAAAGTAGGATGTTATATTGTTCTATCTTTATTATTTATAGATAGTCTTAGAGATATGTACTAATGTTACCAAGATGTGATGGCACTGGTACAAAATTATAGAAGACCAGATATATTTATTACTATCACATGCAACCCTTGGTGGTCTGAAATTATATCAGAACTCTTACAAATACAAACTCCGCAAAACAGACCAGATCTCACAAGTAAAAAACTATAAAATTTATAATATATAATTGATAGTTCAAAATGTTAAACTCTTAACTTTCTTAATTAATATACTTGATTAATATTTTATTATATTAATATATTTACAAAAAATTCATATCAAATTATAATTAATTTTTACAATGATGAATCCCTCTATATGTGTACATTTAAAATCAAAATTGATAATAAGTATTTGTTAAACAATAAGAAAAAAAAATATTATGACATTTAGATCAGATCATGTGTGATTAGAGATGAGAAAAATGTATAATTTATAATAACATGCATATAAATACATACATATGATATCACATTATATAATTTTTTTGATTTTATATTTTCTTTCTAGAAAATATCAAATATTTGTCAAAATTTTTTCCAAACTCTTCTCATCTTTATGTTTATTCATAATCTTTCAGAATTTTTCAAAACTTCTTATACTTATTTTAAAATTTTGCTTAAAATTATATACTATGGCTTAAATTAAATATACTTTAATTTTCCTATATAAGATTTAGATGAAATAAAATATATACAAATTCAAATCATGGCATAAATGTGTACAATCATATACATGAATATGCATGATCAAAGAATAATACACATGCATAAAACTTATCTCTATGTATAATCAAAGATGAAAAATATGTGCAATTTATAATGACATTACATACACATGATATCATATTATATAATTTTTTTGATTTTATTTTCTTTTAAGAAAATATCAAATATTTGTCAAAATTTTTTCCAGACTCTTCTCAACTTTATGTTTATTTATATTCTTTCACAATTTTTTAAAACTTCTTATACTTATCTTAAAATTTCGCTTAGAATTATACACCATGGCTTAAATTAAATATACTTTAACTTTTCTATATAAAATTTAAATAGAATAAAATATGCATGAATCCAAATCATACACATAAATATGCACGATCAAAAAATAATACACATGATCGAAGAATTATACACACACATAAAACTTATCTCTACATGTGATCATCAAAAAGAGTACACACTTAAAAAAAGTGCATTTATAAAAATTTCACCATATATAATTCTGATTATCAAAAGGAGTACACACTTGTAAAAAGTGCAATAAAAAAGTTCACTACATATAATTTACTTATTAAAAACTAAAATCTTAATATTTTTTAATTACTTTTAACACAACATTAATATTTATTACTTATTTATTTAAATATTTAGTATATTAATTTACAATAATTTTATTATTTAATCATAATAGACAGAACTCTTCCCAACTATCATTTGTATACAAAAATTCTCACTTTAATTATTTTGAAAATACTTTATTACTTGTTATTTTACTATACAAACATAGTTTTGTCTCTTAAATAAACTTGTTTTCCTCTCTTTGTTATATATAATACTTAAATATTATTGCTAAAACTTGTAAAGCCGTCAAGTTAAAGCCTTTTGGTCTATTTTTGTATTTTACTCAAAATACCTACCCAACGGCCTTTTTAACATACTGTTTAAGTCTAAAAAAGTTAAAAAGCTTACTGTTCCCATTATAATAAGCTATAATATAAGTTTGTAGCTTTAAAATTGACGGAGTTATATTAAAATTACTACTTTAACTCTCCATAATTTCTCTTTTTATTTTTTCTATTTTTTTTCTAAAACATTCTGGCAAAAACCACTTAGACATTTTTCATATAATCTCAATTTGTGTCACCTACATTTTCAAATACCTCAATATTAGTGGTTCTTCTTATTTACACTAATTTTTAAGTTTTATTATATAAATTAACTATTTATATCTCTGTATTCTTTCTATTCTTAATTTAGCAACGTCATCTAAATTTTACAGGTCATACTTGGGTTATAAGTGATATCTATATAACACATAACCTGCATATAACCTGCATGTGATTTGTGTAATCTATCTTGACTTTTTGTGATCTACATTGTATAAAACAAATTTTATATCATTTCGAAGCTCTCTTTTTTATCTATAATAATTTACTACTTTGGTTGTTCTACAACCTCTAATTTATCCCTATCTGTCTACCCAATTTAAAAAATAATGCAAATGCCTACTTTCAATACTAAACAACTTGATAATACCAACTTTGACACCTTTTTATCTTAATTCCCTAACTGTTTTGGTATCTGGATCTATGAGAATAGACCTAATACTACCAGACCTATTACCAAAGGTGTCACTTCTACTAAGTGCTTTAGCTACATAGTATAAGTAAAGCTACCTATTTCTTTCAAGCTTCCTATACCGCCACTATCATAACTTGTACAAAAACATCATTATTGACCCATCTAAAAAAAAATATTGATCTGTATAATGTAACACAACTATTGAAATGTAATATGATCAACATATCACAGTGTAACACACTAGTACATATATACGTAATTTTTATATTCGAATTTTTATACCTGATATGTATGTACGTACATATTACACGAATAAATATATTGTTATATTTTATCACATATTTTTATATATCTTTTTTAACAATCAATTCAATATACGTATTAAAATAGCGAAGAATAAAATTATACTTTAAAATTTCCATTAATATATATGTATAAATATATCATTATATTGTTATTAAAATAATTCTACATATTAAAGAATCCAAGAATTACCACAATATATTTATTAAATAGCAAAGAATAAGTTATACTTTAAAATTTCCATTAATATATATGTTTTGAGCATCTTATAGAATACATATTTAAATTTTATTAACTGTCAAAATGGAAAATTTATGTTTTAACTGAAGAGTATTGTCTAAAGCCAAATAGTAATTTATATGTGTTACGTGATTTTTAATTTACAAATTTGTTAGTAATCAATTTAAAAATTACCTAGCTTTAGATGACCTCTAGAAATAGTTTATATAAAGAGTTTTCAGTTAAAGAAACTCTTTATGATTAAGAAAGAAGATATTCAATCGGTTAGTTTATCACTAATAAAAATCTAACACCTCAAAATCTGATAATTCCACTTAGTGTTATATCCTTTTCATGATAATAAATATATAGTTATGCTTATAAGACCCGCACAATTGCATAGCAATAATACTGCATAGGATAAAAGCTCAATATTTAAAAATTGATATTGAATATGGTTATATTGTATGACAATATTTTTTAATGAAATATCAAATACATTCCATATATTTGAGAAGGTATTCAAATTTTAAATGACTATTCAAAATATTTAAGCTGCCATATTTGTATAATCTATATTGCATAACTTAAAATTGCGAGATAAGTGAATCTTAAAGAAATACAGTATAAGACAAATAATAAATATACATACTAATACTATTTAATATTCGATAGTTAGAATTTAGATATTTGTTTTTCTTTAGTTTTTTTTTATCAAACCAAGTAAATAATTTTTTTTGTTTAATTCTGCATTATCATTCAAGGAAATATTCTGTTCAATACAAGCTTTTACAAACTCATATCTTTTCCAGTTTATCCCTCTCTCTGCAAAGAGATCTTCAAGTGCAGATTGTATAATAGTTTTTTTGGATAATGTAATGTTGACATTATTCTTATCTTGAATTAACTATTAATATTAAAATTTATAATTCTTTAATTAATATATCTTTATCTAGTATAATAAATAATATTAATTTACCTTGTTTGAAATACTACGTTTATGACTACGAATTGCAGTTGTTAATCGCTTTTGAACTGATAGTGCTAATAGACGTAACTCTTCCCTTGTATTAACGGCTAAAGTTTCTTCTAGTTCAGATACATTTGATAATTCCACTTCTTCGTCAAGCAACATTGGAACATTATTATCATAAAAATTCTAAATCAATGTAGTATAAAAGTTAGAGATAAAATATTTAATATTTAATCTATAGTTGATAACAAATTGCAATATTGTAAAGCACTCAATGACTTGTGACGAATTATATTTTAATTAGCTTACTTCTTTATCTATTGTAGAAGCAAAACTATTAATCTTCCTTGATTTCGCTTCATGTATTTTAGGAGCTCCAACACTTAATATCTTTCTTGTTGACATTTCAGCAGGACAGAATGGATTTTTTTTTGTAACTCCATGTTTGTAAGAAAAAAAGATATCATTATCCTGTTCTGAATAAATTCGAAGAATCTCTTCGAATGTAGAATTATCTGTGCTACTATAAATAATGTAATTTTTCAGTTCATTTGGTATCACACGTTTTTTGTTACGAAAATATAACACAAGATCATGTTTTATAACATCAGGTGTAATTTTATTGTCTTCTATATTATTGAACAAACATGCTGTGTAAACGTGTTTACACATATCACGAAAAGAGCCATTCTATACGAAATCAAGACATATATATTCACTAGTAAAAATATTGACAAGAAAATAATTATCTTCTTGCACAACAGAATATTTTGATGCAAATATATTCAGTATTGGTTGAAATAGTTGATAAATCTCTCTATCAATACAAATATCTTGCATGATATATGGCGATCGAAACTTGTTATTAACTTTTTTTATATGGAAATACATATCCAATTCTCTATCTGCAGGTTTGACTAAATTAAGTAAAACATAAAGCTGTCCTTGATTTAATTGTCCCTTTATATCCATTGGTTGT